CATTTTCCGAGTCCCTTGCTCTTAATCCCATTGGAATATTAAACATGAGATACTGCATGCATTTCACTCCTAACAAATGAGAATGACTTTTAGCAAAAGAAGGTTTACAAAAATTGAACGAATAGTGTGTGTGCTATGTGCAAAAGTTGTAATAAATGCTAAAGGTGCTTTACAATTAGATGGGAATTCCTTTACACTAATACACTTACGGTTTATTTTTTATTTGTTTTGATACGATGATTAATATCCAACTTTTTAAGAAATGTTTATCCAATTACGTATTGATTAGTGATCATTGTCAACTTTACTGCTTTCGGTGGATTGGACCATATATGGTAGGCCTGTATATTTGATTGATCAACTTGATAACAAAGCAATTATGTTAGCGATCCATTTTTCTTTAAGGTGTGATATAATCACCAAAGTAAAACTGGCCACCAACATGTTGGTTTTAGTTTTTGAAATTAATTTAGATTGTTTATCACTGTCAAAATAGTTGAATGCTGAAATTTGCAAGGATGTCCGAGAAGATTAGCGACAGATCACATAAAGGAATTGACTGTAGTGTAACGTTCAACAACACAACCTGTTGATATACAATGTATAATAACTGGTAAAGTTCTAATATTCTCATGACAATTTTCTTTCTTGATAAATCCAATGGAGTTTCCACCACAGACCTTAGAAGTCCTTTCCGATACAATCTCTGTGATCACTTCGCATGATTTTGTTTTTTCCCGAGAAAAATCAAGGTATAAATTGCACTCTATTTTTTATATTATTTTTTCTAATATCTATTCATTTTATTTAGTCAAATTAAACATCAACACCTGTTCGCCATAATTGATGCCATGGGTGAGGCATCAACAAAGGTAAATTGATTTTTTTTTTTTGTTTTTCTTGAAGCAGTTATTCGTAATAATTATTTTTGTGCAATTAAAGGCGCAAGGTCTCAGTAAAGTCATTACTACCGCCGAAAAGCTGAAAGAATCGTCACATCGCCTTTACATAATCAAAGACACACAAAGCACAAAAGTAATTGGAATCCTCAAAGTTGGAAAGAAAAAATTGTTCATTGTGGTAGGAATTCTTTCTCGAACGGATTCATTGGATCAAGTTAGCCTGAGTGCAATTGGTTAAACATTTAAAATAACAATGTGAAAATAA